GTTATGTCTGATTCTTCACCTATATGGGTGAGCCCCTATTTGGGGTTTTCTTGGCAAAGATACCAGAATGGTTTGCCATTTTCTTCTCCAGCTCATTTTACAGATGAGGAAACTGAGGCAAATAGAGTTAAGTGACTTGCCCAGGATCACACAGCTAGTGTGAAACTGGATTTGAACTCATGATGATGACTCTTCTTGATTCCTTAGTTATACTCTTATTTGTTCCCAAGTTATTCTTGCCATGTCCCTAACGGAGTTCAAAGCTCCTGAAGTTCTGATTTTGTTGAGGTTTGAGTTCCTTCTTCTAACCCAATTTCTATGTTATTGCCTTTTGCAGATTTTGTCCCATTCCCCTTCTCTCCCTCTCTTTTTTTCCAGCTGTCTCTGAGAAATATCATTTTGCTAGGGAAATAGTGTTGGACCGAAACAGTACAGTATGGTGGAAATTATCCTATGTTCTAAGGTGTGCAACTCAGCCCTAACACCTGGCCCTTACCAAGATCAGTGTCCTTTTCAAAGGCTATGCCATTTTATCTCTGACTGCCTCCTTTCCCAATTCTTGGTATTAACATACCCCTTCTCCTGTGGCAAGATGTTGCTCAAGGAGGCATGACATTCTCTTAGAGAAGGTGGACTCCCAATGGGTAAACTCCTACCAAACTAAATCCATAATGAGGTCACCATCTTTCACCCAAGGCACTTCCTTCCTTCCCCATCAGAGTGCTCTTTAGCAAAGTTGCTATTACTTACCTTGATGTTCTACAGGCCATTTCTATGACTGCAAACTAAAGCAGCTACAATCTAGTCCAATAAAAAGTCCTTGATGTTTCTTAACTCCCAAATAACCTCTCCTCTTGGAATGAGCTCCCTTTATCTCAATCCCTTCTTCCTTTCACCTCACCCTTTCTCCTACAGCCTTTCCCCTCTTGTTCAAAGACAAGGATCACCATTTCTTCACTCTTATCCTGTGAAAGTGGTAGGGCTGGATCATTACTTTCCATCTGCCTCCCACTACTTCCCTTCTCTTTTATGTGAAGTTCCTCTCTTCAACTCCATTCCACACAAGACATTGATTCACCTGTAGGAAGTTCAGGAGATTTATTCTATGCAGCTCCCAATTTCCTACTATTTCCCCAGTTCTTATATTTCACATAAATTGTTAATTTATTTCTCTGCTACTTAGTTATCTATTTTTTCCATCATTCAGTTGGTGATGAATTTTTAAAATTTTCTTTTCTTTTCCAATATATTATTTTCATTAATTTCTTTTACCATGCTATTTTCTAAGAAAAATGTCTTTGTTTTCATCATTTCACCCCCTATAGGTATAAAGTTTGGGAGGTACCACATTCTGAGTTCCCTTTTCTAACCAATTTCCATATTATTGCCTTAATAGATATTGTCCCATATGCTCCTCTTTTTTTTCCCCTACTGTACCTGATTTTTAGAAATATTAAATTGCACGGAAAGCAATATTAGATAGAACATTGTTGTCAACTGCCATTAGGAACTTACATATGTCTTCTCCTAGGATTATGTGCTGCTTGTAGATAAGGCTCATACTTCCTCCCTCAGAAGAGTACATAGGAATCAAATAGGTGAATTAGGGGGTTATCTACACCAAGCATGTGAAGACTTTCCCTGACAGGATGGGCAGATGTGAACAGTTTGTTCTAATGGGCCATGAAGGCGATGGTAGTAGGTGCTGCGGAGTGCTTAGAGCTCGATTAGGCATCATAGCTGCCAAGGTCATCTGCTGCACCCTGAGCCAATTGTCTTGATATTTGTCTTGCCTCTGGATTCAGATATCTCTGTTTCACTTAAATCCAATTTACAAGTCAGTCAAAAGACATCACCCATACCATTTTACCATTTTATCATTTTTACCTATCTCAAAGTCCTGTGATGACAGGCAGGTGATGAAGCAGCAGGTGTGGATACACTGGCAGCTGTAGTCACAACCCTGCATGCAAACAGCCCAGGGAATAAGCTTGTCTTTTCACTGGACTGAAGCAGCAGTGGGATTTGGCAGCCTCATGGGTGTCTCAGTAGCTTTTTTTTTTTAAAGAACCATACCACTCATCTCTTGGCATAAGGAAGGGGCTAGGGGCAGCTGGGTGGCACAGTGGATAGAGCATTGGCCCTGGATTCAGGAGGACCTGAGTTCAAATCTGGCCTCAAACACATAATACTTACTAGCTGTGTGACCCTGGGCAGGTCACTTAACCCCCATTACCCAACAACAACAGCAACAAAAAGAAATATTGGTGATATAAAAACAAAAAAATTAACTAAAACATAAGGAAGGGGCTAGAAAATATGCCCTAAAAACTGTCTGCTTCACCTAACCTAACCCTGGCCTGCTTGCTGTGGCAGGTACCTACCCTGTGGTTGAAACACAAAGAAATGTACAAAAACTTTTGTGCAGCAGCCTAAAAGAAACGTGAGATGTGCAAATTTAGAGACATGTCCACTCCAAATGTTCGTATTGACTATATGTGCTTGTTCTGTGGTAGAGCCTTCCAAGCCTGTATTGGTCTGATCAGCCATGGTTGGACACGTTGTCCCTTAACCCCAACAGAGTGATGCAGTTTAGGTCCTCTTCAAGCATGAAGAACAATAACCAAAATGCAGGAATCACTTTTTAAAATAAGGTAAAACTTTATTATGCATAGGGAAAAAAATATTTGGATATGATTTGGTTCATGGGTCAGCAAATTAATGAAGATCATTAACATGTTTCATTTAGCATTTGCTTTAGTTCAATTGTATAGTTAATATCTTTAGTTTATTTTTATTATTATTACTATTGTTGTTGTTGAGCTCAAAGAAAGATAAATTCACTGATATCCCAATGAATCTTCACCAAAAAGGGTGGCTGATTAGAATAACACATAAGGTGGAGAGACATAAATAAGAAAAAAACTACATTTTGAGTTCTAACCATTTTGTAATAGATTTGAAATTCGTTCACTGGTTGTACCTAAACAGCCTAACTGAGGTATTTTAACCTGGAGAAATCTAGCTTTTGGAATCCTTGGAGAGGCTAATTACATGACTGGATGGGGTCTGAACACATTCCCTCTCTTGATCAGAGCTGTGAATTAATTTGATTCTATACAAATATTATTTATCAAGTGCTATGTACTCAGCACTGTGCTAAGTGGATGAGTACAGGAGATAAGTGGTGGTCTGAGGTTGACAGTGCTACAGAGGGAGGTTTTTATAACTGTTCTATGGGCTTGATCCTTTTCAGGAAAATTCTCTGAGTTATTTAGGGAAGTCATCTTGCTGTGTATTTAGGGAGATGTAGACAGACAATTAAGCAAAGAAGAAAGTTAAATGTACATGGACTAAAAGGTTGTTCAGTTCAGCTAAAAAGCCTCTGGAGCAGTAGTAAACAGAATAGCTTCTGCTTGAGGGTATCACCTCAGCTAAGGAGAGGACTGGCTGTAGCTCTGATATCCTTTCATACCTGGCCCCTCTCTACTACAGAACAATTTGCATATTTGTTTCTAATTGTGTAGCATACATTTGTTGAGATGGCTAATAAGTATGCCTGCTATTGAAAACATGTCCATCCATGTGACTCATCTCAACTAGTCATTTTATTTTTGCTATGCTTTTAGTCAAAATGTATGGCTTTGATGAAATAAACTCCATGGTAGTTGAGTTAACCTGGGGAACTAGGTGGTACACGGTTGGGCCTGGAGTCAAGACCTGAGTTCAAATCCAGTCTTAGACATTTACTACTGTGTGACCCTGGGCAAGTCACATAACCTGCTTGCCTCAGTTTCCTCATCTGTAAAGTGAGCTAGAGAAGGAAATGGCAAACCACTCCAGTATCTTTGCCAAGAAAACCCCAAATAGGGTTACAAAGAGTTGGACTTGACTGAAAACATCTAAACAACAACAGCTGAGATACGGTGAACCACCGTGCCATTCACTAAGAGAACTGTGAGTCAGGTCAATCACCAAGCATTTATTAAGCCTTACTGTGAACCAGGCTTACACAGTAAGAAAAAAAAGTCTCTGCTTTTGAGGAGTTTACAGACCACATAAAAAGGAAGCTAAAGACTGGGGGTGGGGCCAGAGAGTATTTGCAGGGGTTGGGGGTGGTGGTGGTGGCAAAGTCCTAAGAGTGGATTGGGGTTCTTCCTCAAAATGGAGATTCCAGGAGGAACTCAGCAATGGGAGGTGTCCACAGGGACAGAGGGAGAAGGGATCCGAAGCTGCTGTAGTGGCAAAGTCCAGAGAGAGAGGAGAATAGCTCTAACATTTTTTGCTAGCCTTAGCAAAGGGAAAAAACCATAGATTTCTCTGTAAGTGGAGAAATGAGAAAGTGTGGGGGTGTGGGAGTGTGTTGTGGGGTAGTGGTAGTAGTGGTAAAGTAGGCCTGGGAAAAAGGAAAGAAATACAGGGAGAGAGTTCAGGAAAGAAAATGCTATAGTTGCAAGATATAGCTTCCTTTTTAGACAGCAAATTGCTCTACTACAGAAAGTTGGTCAGTCTTTATCACGTAACTGTAGACATGATTCACAAGCAGCCTCTACCCTTCATCTCCCACCCCCCAGCAAGCTCTCAGTTAGCATTTGGCAGCTGCTAGGTGGCCTAGTGGATAAAGTGCTGGGCCTGGAGTCAGAAAAGAACCGAGTTCAAATATGGCCTTACTAGCCATGTGAGCCTAGACAAATCACTTAACTTCTGTGTTCCTTAGCTTCCTCATCTGTTAAATGGGGATAATAGCATGTACCTCTTAGGGTTATTGTGAGGATAAAATGAGATATTTTTAAAGTTGTTTGAATACTTTAAAGCACTATATAAATGTTATCTGTTGTTTATTGAGTTCAATTGAAATGCAATTCTGACCAAAACAGGAAACAGAATGACCAATTTTGGCTGAGGAGGTGGGCTCCAGTGTGATACAGCAGAAGAAACTCTGGATTTGGAGTCAGAGGAACTAGGTTCACATTCTGCCTCTGACACTTGTGACCTGCATGAGCTCTGTGCCTCAGTTTCCTTATCCATACAATGAGGACTTTGTATAGATGGCTTTGGATAGATCTTTCCAGTTTTGAGTCTGTTGTCTATGATCCTGTGGCCAGGATGGTGAATAATTTGGGTAAGGAGGAAAAATGGAGCTGGAGCCAGAGGCTGAGGTAAAAGAAGGTAAGTCATAATATCGGCAGTTGTATTATGGGAAAATAAGAGGTGTGGGTAGCTCTTAGTTACCTTGTTGCTCTGTAATCTGTTACTGTGATTGAAGACCAAGGTAGCTATATTAGTCCAGCAAGTAGTCCTTCCTTTTTCACTTAGCTCCCAAACTACCTTCCTAATTGGGGTTTAAAAGTCTTTTTTCCTGGTGGATATAGAATTATATGCTAACCTATGAGTAAAGGACTGGCTCAGGTTAAAGGTTGAAAATTCCATGCTTCTGTTTGGTATGTGTTTAGCTAAATTGAGTTCGCCATTTTACAGTGAGTGCAATTCAGTCTGAAAATTTATAGTGGTGATGGTGCTTGGAGGATTTAATCTGGTTTCCTATACTATTTGGTATTACTCACTTAAAATATATACTGGGATGTTAAATGCAAACGCAACTTTGAATTTCTGCCCTTTAAAATTTTAGTTGGGTCTATTAATTACAGATTATAAAATGATAGTGCTTTATCATCTAATCTGTCCAAATATCAAATACATTTTATAATTATTTATAATGTTTGCTTAGTTTCCACTTCACTGGGGTTCAAGTCCCGTCTCTGACACATACTGTATGATCATGGGCAAATCATTTAACCTTTAAGTGTCCCAAGTACTCTCTGTGACCTCAAGGTGCTGATGAATTACCAGTCTACATGTGAGATGGAGTGGGGAATGGGCTGGAGATATTCCTATTCTTAGGAGTCCCCTACACCAATTAAATCATAAACCTGTGCCAAAATAAAAACAAAATAAAATACTCAAACTGGGACTGAAGTCCTTGAGAAAACTATTGTGCAAGGGACCCTTAAACCTAAGAAGCAGTTAAAGGGAGCAAATGAGCTAATGAAATGAAATCCAACTGCTCTTTGTTACATGACTCAGTTCTGGGTCAGAAGCCTGGGTAGAAATCCAAGCTAGCCACGTATTTGATCTGCCAACTTTCAGCCCAGTTCTTTTTTTTTTTTTTTTATAAATTGTGTGTTTATCACTGAACAATTTTGCTCATTTCAAAGGTCATTAAAATCACAGATACTGGAAAGACAACAGAGATCACTTCCTTCATCCCTCTGTCTTTGGGTATAACTCCATGTTGATCATCCCAGACTATCTGTCTGGGATCCTTTCCTGAATAAATAATGCACAGCTGGCAGCAGGAAAATATCTCTTGATTCAGGCATTTGTCAGGTAGTAAACATAGCCATGTGTTCTCAGTGAAAACCACACCCACTGTGCGTGTTTTATTAGAGGAGTCAGCTGCCTACATGCTGGAATGGAAAAAGTTGGAAAGCACAAATGTGAAAGAGAAACAGTTGTAATAGACCAGGTAGGTGGGTTCTCATCAGCAGATGTTCTCATGCGGATAAGGGCTAGCTTTGGGAGCTCGGATCATCTTGCTCTGTTTGCTTATCTCAGCATTGGAAAGACAGGGTATTGTTATGTGAAGTGCTGAATGGTTCAGTATTAGGGTGGGATGCATATAGGACCACTTGGCTTGAAGAATGCTATACCCTCAGTTTTGATATTTTGTATCCTATTTTCTGGTTCTGGAGTTAGAGTGTATTCCCTAGAAACCTTTCTTTTGAGCCTAGCTCTGGAAAGTCTTGTTTGTTCCTGGGAGAGTGGAGAATTCCTAGTGTAACACCTTGTTACAATGCTTAACTTGTAGCCAAGTAGTTTGGGGTGACTACAACACCTGGGACCTGGACCATGTAGCCAAGGAAGAGTGGAGCCTAGCTAGGATTAAGGGTGGGAAATGACTGGGGGTCATAGGGAGATCTCACTAGAGATCTGGCCATGTGGGAAAGTCTAAGGTTTTTCTTTTTTGGAGTCCAGATCCCATCCTCATCATTCCCCCCTCAAACAAATGGGACCTAAATTCTTTTGGGGCAAGGGGCAAAGGTCTTGGCTTCTGGCACTGTTTCCTGCTGGAAAGGGGGGTAGAGCTATCCCTGCCTCAAGGGGGTCCCAAAGAGAAGGCTGACTAGAACTGATCACAGGCTGCATCCAGGAAACGCTGGGGACTTTGGCTGGTACTTGTTGTTGCTACCAACTGTAGGTGAATGGCCTGTAGTCTGGAAGACACAAATCTGACAGAAAAGACTGCAGGGCCCAGATATGACAGGATAATGCATCCTTAGCTCTGTTTGGATTCAGATAACTTAGTTTTCCAGCCATGCAGTATCAAATCCACCTCAAAGCCAGACTCAGGAATAGCCAGGTGGGTAACATTCCTTTTCAAAGGAACATAATGGGGAAACCAAGGCAGGAGAATCCCATCTTAGACTGAGGCTAAAATTGTCCTCTCAGCTTTTCCCGATGCTGACTTCCCACCAGTATCACATTCTGAGTAACTTGTGGTCTTTCTCTCAGATGGTAGATTATTGATTATTGATGGATTATGATCCATCAGACAACTCAAAATAAAATCCTATGAGCTTTTGCCTCAAACAGCAAGTTTCACTAATCACAGTTTATCTGTGACTGATTAGATGATAAAACTTTTCCAAGATTTACATCTTAAACTTAAATTTGTCCTGGTGCAAAAAGCCAGTCGTTAGAGATTATTTCTGTATACTTGCAAATTCTCAGCAAGACAAAACCCAAACAAGTTTTTTGGAAAGTTTACACATTAAAATAATAACCAACAATAGCCAAATTATTTTAGTGGTAACCAAATTATGAAAAGTTGCTTGACATAACGGGTACAAAAAGTTCACCAGTTTGAAACTTGAAACAAAGCCATTACCAATCAGGTGACTTCAGTTTTGTTAAATGCATTTCCAAATTTCCAAATTACTTTATACAGAGAAACAACATCTCATCATTAACAGTCAAAACTACAACTTTAAAAGAGCGTGCTTACCCAAGTTCTGAAGGCCAGCTTCTTTACCTTGAGCAGGGTGTGCTAAACCTGTATGATGCTTCTGGGCAAAGGTTGTCCTAGAGCCCAAGGCCATTGCTGGGGGACCCATGCTGTAGCTGTTGCCCCCCCCTTTTCCCAGGTGGGGGAGGGCAAAATCAAAGGTGATGGGGAAAGAGTGAAACTCTCTTCTCTTCTCCTATGAGAAGGGTTAACAGATACCCTGTTGACTCAAGGGAAGGGGGTGACCAGGTTTGTTTCAAAACTCCTTGATGATCAATCACAAAACTGCCAGAATCTGCTGTTCTAACTTTTCCCTGTAGCCTCCATGAAGGAGGATTTAGGGATGTAGAAGGAAGGGAGTAAGTAAGCCTCAGGGAACTAAAAAGCACCTACACTTTTCCCAATTCTCTAGCACTGAGAGAAGTGACAGAATTGGGCATATGCTTCCTGATAGGACATCTGTCCTTGTCCTCTATGCTATGGAAGGTGTATCCAGGTCCATGACCTCAAACCAAACAAGTGGACCGGGAGCCTGAGAGCGTCAGGCCAAATTTGAGACAGCCTCATAACTGTCTGCCCAAAAAGCACCTCCAACCCTTCCTAGGTGCTTGGAGAGAAACCTCAACTGCCAGGCAAGGAAGGGGAGGGGAAGCTTACATACCTTCCAATCTTGGCTGGAGAAGAACTTGCGATTAGGCAGTTTTCCCCATACAGGCCACCAACATGTTGGGGTTTAGGGGTGCTGGGATCCCAAAATCAGAATACGTGTGTCTTGTCCAAAAGAATTTGACCCAAGCCTTCTTTCAGCCAAAGACACGGTTTATTAGAACATCTGTCACATTGGCCAGACTCTTAAGGAGTCTGAACATTAGTGAGCTATTAGCTAGATTGTAAGAATCTGAGCCTTTGGCTATATTATAAGAATCTGAGCATCTTAATGGAGACAAGATGGACCTTATATACAGAAAGGCTGTGGGAGGGATCTAGGAGTGACCAAGTAGTTTGGAGTGACTAGAATGCCTGGGACCTGGACCATGTAGCCAAGGGAGAATATAGCCTAGCTAGGGTTAAATGTGGAAAATGGCCAGGGGACCTAGGGAGGTTAAGACAATGGAAGGCTGGGCTGGTTAAGGGTAACAGAGAATTGGGAGATTGGGCATAGCCACAATGAAAGGCCAGTTGATGGGATTATAACCTCAGGCCATCACCAGAGATTTGTTGGCCAAGTAGGAAAGTCCAGGGTTTTTCTTTTTGGGGTCCAGATCCCATTCACATTACCATTTGTCTAAGGGATTCTCCTTGAATTCTCCCACTTGATCTAGGAGGTCTCTTGGCTTCCCCTGAGCCTATAATCTTATCAACTGGCCTTTCATTATTGCTTATGCCCAATTTCCCAATTCTCTGTTACCCTTAAACTAGCCCAGCCCTCCATTATCTTACCTCCCTATGCCCCCCCCCACTTCCCACCCTTAATTCTATCTAGACTCCATTCTCCCTTGGCCATGTGGTCCAGGTCACTGGCATCTTATTACCTCACAGTCTTCTTCTCCCCACCCCCAGGACTACTTGGCCACTCCTAGATCCCTCCAATAGTCTTTCAGTATATAAGGTCCATCTTGTCTTCATTAAGGTGCTCAGATTCCTTAAGAACCTAAGCAATGGCTCACAAATGCTCAGATTCCTTAAGAGTCTGGCCAATTTGGCGAATCTTTAATAAACCTTGTCTTTGGCTGAAAGAAAGCTTGGGTCGAATTCATTCAGGCAGTACCCATGTGTCATGTTTTTGGGGTCCTTGCATTGCTAAACCCCTAAGCCTCAACACTGGGACATACGGGTTTACAAGTAAATTTCATTAAATGTTTTAAAAATAATTAAAATGTATGCTAATTTTTTTTCAAAATGTTCTTTATGGAAATAAAGGAAGGCTAAAATAATTGGAGAGGTATTCAGTGCTCATAGTTAGGCTGTTTTAATAGAACAAAAATGATGGTACTCTTGTTGAGGTATAGGGACGCTGGGACCTCAAAATCATGACACATGGGTCCTGTCCAAATGAATTCAACCCAAACTTTCTTTCAGCCAAAGACAAGGTTTATTAGAACAT